GAAGAGTATATTAGGCTTGTGTAATGCCCGCCTCGCTGTCTGTCTATTTAATTACTTGTATGGACGCAAATCGTGTCGCCGCTATGGAAACTAGAGAAATTTAATTGGATATTTGGTCTAGTAGGGTATTTTCTCCCAATATTTGGTATTACAGAAACGTTATTGTCTTAGGTTGTAGAGACTTGAGCATTGACATATATTTAGTCGTGGATTGAGACTAAGCTACAAATTTTACAGCTTTAGAGCCTTTGCTTGAGACCCTGGACAAACCCTTGAATTGTATAGTTCGAATTCCTCTAATTGATTGATAATACAGTAAACAGTGCCTCAATTATTCTGAATAGTCTGGAAAAACTATTTGCTAAACAGTTGAAAAGCTACAGCTGCAAATTTCGACTGCCTCTTGAGGTTTGCAAGAGCTAAATAAAGTTTTTATTGGCTAGTAACGAGCATGATGCAGCTGGTGACGCCCGGCTGCAACAGGCTTACTTGAATGCAACTGCCGACATGGAATCGTTGCAACACTTCCACTGCTCAGTTCCAACAGAAACTTCACTCAGGCAAGATGTGCGCCTACAAAGTGTACGAAATAATTATATTTCAGATAAAATATTATGATATGATTAAATTTGCATTTCCCACTCACCTTTCTTAGCTACGTGGTGCTCATGGTGCTCGGTCTAGGGGCCCTCACAGTAGAAGCAGATGAGGATCAACTAGACATAAATGCCACTCTCTTCGTAAACGAATGTCCGCCCATGCAAATGGAAGAGGATGCGCCCAAGAAGAGGCTGTTGGGGGTGTGGTACGCCTATGCAACCACTCCGCTGCCCTTTCGGGACTATCAGCGTAGATGTGCCTCGTACAATGTGAGGAACTCAAGTGAGTATTTGGAAGCGATGATGTGCGTGCGATCAGGCAACTAATGCTCCTGGCACAGCCTACTTTAAGACCAACATTCTCTATTACGACAAGGATAAAGCTGATAGTGTCATCACATATTCGTGCAAATACGACCAGGGTATCCGGAAGTATAAAAGTAGGTACATCTATCTTTTGCTGAGCCGAATCATTTAGTTGACTACTTTTTAGGGAAACTTCGAGTGCTGACACGCACGCGCACCCCTGACAGTCAACAGATTTTAGTGATCAGCAGTTTTCTAATGATGCGAGGATTTGACATCAGGATACTGACATGGCTAAGAGCAAACGCCTTTTGCTTTGAATGGTACGAGCTGAAATATGAGACCAGACGCCAGCCGATGACCTATCAGGCGCCATTCAATATGCCCGGCGCATTGGGGCGCTAGAGATTCGAATTAATTGCATAAATGTTCAATTATTGTAACATAATTTGCCGTACATATGTTAACCATTGAATCACTGATTAAAATGAGGAAATCGTATAATGGCCGAGGCCAAACTTAATTAGGATTGTCGACCACCAAAATCAATTACGTCGACAGTATCGGCCGTTGATCATGTGCTTCACGCACATATGGTTTAGCCAGGAGGCTCGGTCCACATATAAGCATCCTGGCCATGAACGACACCCATTTCCTGCTCCTGCTCCTGCTGCTGCTCCTGCTCCTGTGCCTATGTTCGTGTGCTTGCAGCCACGCAAAAACTTTCCATGAGCCCAAAATTATCTTTAGTTTGTGTGTTTTCTTTTTGTATTTTCGTTTTTCCTTTTTGTTTGCTATTGTGCGGCTTCCTTAGGCCAAATTGCTTGGCCGCACAAATTGGCTTTCGCCTCGGGCTCTGGCAATAAAATCAAACTCACGCAGGCGTATGCGTAACGCACAATTATCCCTCATTGAGTGGGTGTGTCTGCACTCGAAGGGATAACAGCCAGAGTCCCTTAATAATTGTCATTGTCAAGTGGATTCTGTGGATTCTCTGAATAAGTCCTCTCGGCTCCTCGCACTCCCCAAATTTCCCAACTGCTCGACCTATCGGCTCCTCCAACAATAACATAAACTGTCCTTCAGAATCAATTTACTTTCAATTGTTGCCGAATTGTATTGCTAATTGTTGGCATTAAATTGAGCTAACTGAGTACTGTCGAATTTAAGTCACGCTCTCTAGCAA